ACATGTGAATGTGAAGTAATGCATTGTCATCCGGTGAGAGGAGTAAATTTTAGTCATATAATCATATAAGGAGGGTTAACATTGTTTCAGTTAATTTTAAGGTCTGTTTGGATAAATTTCTACTTTAGTACTTATATGAGAAAAAAATAGAAAGAAAAAAATGAACTAAGCTTCTCCTTAAGTTAAAATTAGCTTATCTATAAGCTAATTAGTAGAAACTCTCTTATTATATAGTTTCTCCAAAAATTTATTTTTTACGCATAAGCTAATTTTAACTTATAGAGATTAATTTTATGTTCTTTTTACTAATTCTTTTCTCATAAGCGTGTCTAAAAAAATTTATCCAATCAGACTCTTAATCTTTACTATCCATTTCTATTATATAGTTGAGATTTACTCCTTTCACAATCTCATCTATCACCTGAATATATTTCCTATAAATTATGTGTGTGTGTTTAATTGTTATCCAAAAATCACTTCTCTTGTTGATATCTTGAAAGGACGTATTTGCAGCTTGTTTGGAATAATTGGTGTGACTGATAAATGTCTGGATGCACTCTCGAAGTCCTGTTCCGACAAACTTACGACCCTCGACGTTAACGGGTGTATTGGCATTAAGGCAAATTTCTACTTGAAAGTAACTCTATATTTGTGACAAATTACAAGTATTAGGTGGAGTAGTGTTTTAAACAGTTCGTTTATTCCTTTGCAGAAACGAAGCCGCGAAGAGTTGCTAAAGTTGTTTCCATATTTGAAATGCTTTAAAGTGCATAGTTGATGCGTGGTTGGCGGAAATATAGTAATCAAAGCTGTCATTTTGTCAATTAAGGCATATAACATGCATAAGTTCTAAATTTAATCACAATTTTTTTACCATACCTCTCTGTATGTTGTAATTTTTTATTATTATACCAATTTGTAGTAACAACAAATTTATTGTCCTTTAGGTTTGGGACACTGAAAAACCTTGTATCCAAGTAATTTTGCTTATCAGAATGATAGTCTCTTTACTTATGGCGCAAGAACGCAAGAGGGGGTGATCCTTATTATCTTGATTTGATTCTCTGATTTCTCTATTTCTTTTTAAGAAAATAGAGTTGAGTTCTTCTTCCACCCGTACATCAAATAGAATATGTTGAGCCAAATCTTGATCGAATCCTTGGAGCAATCTCATTTTTTATAGATATTTTGACTGATGAGTATGAAGAGCTAAGCTGCTACTTATCTTGATTGACCTGAAATAACATGGGCATTTGGAAAAATTCTCAATAGATATTTATTGGAAAAATATGAAATTTATTATATTTTATGTATGTTAAAATTAATTTATACGTTTTAAACACTTTTCTAGTAAAGTAATACGGCTTAAACTTTTAAAGAAGTTTATGGATTTAACTTTTCAAAAATTGTTGGATAGATGTTTATTATAAATTATATTATAGTTAGTTTTAGTTGTTTATAAATAATTATTATGAATTTTATTCAAATTAACCTATTACAAAGTCAAAATAAACTTGTGTTTGTACAATAATGTAAAGACTGTCGTAAGTGTGAATCAACTCTATCGAAAATGTGAGTCAACTAATATAAAGTTACTTTAGTTTAATTAGTAATATCAAATTCAAGTTTTAGGTAAATAATTGTGTAAATGTATACATAAAGAATTTTGTTGTCAATAACGATTTTATTCAATTTGAATTAAAAGTGACTAAGTTTGCTAACTTATTTTGACGTGTGGAAAGGGAATTATAAAATATAGCTTATCCATCCTATTTAGTGGGATTGATAGGTTGACGAATTAATCATGTAAATCATTTAACCCATCCTATTAAGCATCTTATTTAGTGTTATGTAAAGTTTTTTAAGTTTTATAATAGGATATAACTTCTCACCGGGTTTGCTTATAAAAAAATTGAATAATACCTCTACTTGTGACTATATACTTTAGTCAAAAATTAAATTTTATTCTTAATTAAAAAGTATAAATATCGAACTATTTATCCTAATGACTTATATATCACTAATTTAAAATATTAAATTTTATTCTTAATTAAAAAATATAAATATCAAGCCATTTATACTAACGACTTATATATCACTAATTTAAAATATGAAAAGTGTTAATGATGTATTCTTTAATATATTGGATAAAATTTAATAAAAATTACAAAATTATGAATTTGACTCTTTAAAAAAATGAAGCCCATAATTAACAATGAAAAAATCTTGTACCTACAAATATCGACAAATAAAATTCATTATAAATAATAGGTGGGTAGCCTTAATGAATATTTGCAGATAGCAAGTACGATCATTTTTTAACCGTTTGGGATAGGTTTGGTAGTATTCACACCTATGATACATACTAAGTAAAATTACTTAAATATTCATATGTTTATCTTGCATACCAACTTGGATTAACATGAGTGTTGAAGATTCACATCGCTTATCCAAGTGACTAAAGATTGAATCCAGACTCGTAAGAGTGCAAAAAACTCAGGTTGAGAAGAGGTGCCTACCTATTTTGGTATTTGTCAAGCCTTTAAGAAAGATTGTCCCATGTTTGATAAAAAATCTCCTTTGTAATGAACAAATAAAAATATGTTTATCTTACATTTTTAATATTTCAACAAAATTAACGTTAAATACAAGTTGAAAAATTAATATTAATTGTTTATCTTTAACATTTTAATAGAATTAACTTCAAATATAAACTTAAAATTATTTATACTACTTTTTATTTTTTAAAAAATCACAAATATTCATAAATATTTATGTATATTTATAAAATTCATAGATACCCACACAAGTATGACTAGATAGAACGAATTCTTATATGGTGGAATAGATACTACCTATCTCACCATTGTCATTGTCATCCCTACCCATAACTTAAATTTTCGATAAATTTCAACTCTTACATTTTCTTTCAAAATACTTATAAATGCCTAATAGGACAGGTAGGTGTAGAGAGTAATGGTCATAATGTTATTGTCAAGGCAAAGTCTACTATGAACCATTGTGTCAATGGTTCATTGATGGAGAAGGAATATATGATCCTTAGATACAAACAAATGGCTTAGATTATAGCATATATTATTAATAAAAAATAATAATATTAAATTATCTTAAAATTTAAAGTCTTTTTTAACCCTTAAGTTAGAGAACCTTCAAAATTGTACTTTTGCAGCCGCAATAGTATTTGTTCTGTAAACAAAAAGTAAACATCCCCAAATCAGATGTGACGTACAATAATGTGAAGCTCAAATCAAATGTGACGATGTGAAGTAAATATTTTTTAATAAGTTAATTTTAATTTCATTTAAAAACTATAAAATAACAAATAATTTTTTTAAAAAATATACGGTAATTATGCAATTATAATAACTTTTAAATGTAAATTTAAAACTTTTAAAATACAAGCCACTTGTATATTATTTATTAACAATAATGTACTTTTTCATAATCATAATTATTAATGTAAAAATGTTAATTGTATATAATTTTTAAGTTTAAACTAGTATTTTAGAATTTGCATCTCACATGTTCAATATTTATTATGTATAGTTAAAATTTACAATAAAGTATATATATAAGTATTTTTAAACATATAAAATATATTTTAAATTTAAGATAAACAGTCAATTCTTATATATTAAATACAAACTTCTATTTTACGCTAGAACGTTTTGTTAGATATTTTTCTTCTACGAGAAGGTTTTTAGGATAGACTCTCAATAAATTAACATCTATTAGTCATTAAGTTTTAACTTTTATTCATATGTAAGTGATGTAACATTTTTAAACATAACACTTAGAGATGAAATTATTTTTTAGAAAAATATGTACATAAATTTATTAATAAATAAATATTAATCATTCATTAAAATAGACTAAAAAAACTATTTTGTATGTTATTTAAATTTTAATTTTTAATATTTACATGTTACATTATTAAATATCATCTCACTTAAGTAATAACAAATTATTTAATAATATCAAAACTTAACGATCAACGAATATTAAACTAATAATATGATCAAAATCTCTTGTTTTTAAAAATAAGAAAACCAAATGTCTATTTTAAAATAGATAGAATAAAATTACAAATTAATAAAAATAGACTTAAAAATACAATTTAACATAGACATTAAATAAAGACTATGTTTCACACTTTCCTTTTAATTAAAACAAAAACAAAAAAAAAACCAAGAAATCTTCAATCGTCTGAATGACTTTGAAAGAAAATTGGACAGTATCCCCACATCCTTGAGCGCTAAACTAAGTCACTCATCTCAATTGCCATAGCAACTTGCTTCATTACTTAAAGATACAAATCATGAAAAATTATGGCTTCATTTAATGGCAATTCCTGAAATATACTGCCTTCATTCCTATATATAAGACTTCACTAATTAATTCACTAAAACTAAAAAAAAATATTTATATAATTGATAACAATAAATTTGTACTATTTTTTTCTTCTAAAATTACCCATATTACTTATCTTTTCTAATTAATATTCATACATTTTTCAACTAATTAGATTACACTCCCTATATTATTTCTTACCTTTCAACTTCAAAGAATTTATAATTAATGCTTTTTATTAAATTAAGAGAACAATTTAATTAAAAACATTTTAATCTAAAAATAATTAATATATTGAACAATATAAATTTCAATTTATATTAAAAAAATAATTATTCTAAGTTAAATTTAATAAATAACAGGTAATATTTGAGTACATGATCCTAGTAATATATAAATTATCTAGATTATTATCATCCAAATAATACATCATCATACACACCACATTCTATAAGTTGATTTAATTGGCGAGGCTAATTTCAATAATTTTAGTGATCAACGATAGCAAAGCAGTCAAAGGTGCGATCGAAATAGACGGTTCTCCCAACAAATCATTCAGCAAAAACATGATTTGCATTTTATCGAGAATTATAATTGAAAAATGGTAAAGGTTTTTCTAGTAACACGGGTTGAATGTTCATTTGCCGGCAATATATTAAAAAGGGATTGAAAAAAAACTCAAGTATTTGACTTGTCATGCCCTTTTTTACAGTCACTAATAGTATGCATGCCTTCCTATGTTGTTACAATTATAGCAACAGTTCATATCTCACCCCATCTTAAGCACTCACCTTCGTATTGTGTTGAACTCTTCTACTTCATTATCAATTATGACATTCCAAATATGTCAAGTTTCTGACGGACAGGGCAAAATAAAGAGTTACCCAAGTTTCGAGCCTTAGGCCCTAGATTGAAAGGACTTTAGTTGTTTACTAGGATGTATGGAGCCAATAAGCACATGTGAGAAAATTCCCTTTTAAAAGGAAAAAATTATGAAGATTTGGGAGTCGGGGTGAAGATAGAGGCAAAGTCAATAAGGCATAATCATAATTTTTTCTATGAGATAAAGGTGACATGATACATAGCAGATCATTGCAATGAGAGAACCCCACATGGAGACACCCGGAAAAGACAGGCATGATCTACCATTTTTACAAAAACCTTACCAACCAAATGCTTCTTTCAGCCTTTTTCTTTATGTGTCTCTGAAACTGACCTACAAGGATTCACAATCAGCATCAATAAAGAATTAAACAATACTGAAATGCATGTGATACTGGAGCAAGAGGTGAAACACAGGAAATGACAACAATTTTGTTCAATCAGCATTTTTCAAAGATCAATGGACCAAAAGGTCACGTGAAATATAAAGGCTGAAGATTCTTTTATAACCATGTTTAAATTTATCTCAAGTTCACACCAGCATCTCAGAGAAGACATCATAAGAAAAGGTGGCTCTTATTTTGTATCATGACAATTTCCATAATGTTCATGTCAACATTTCTTTGCACGTCAAACAGCTGGGACATAGATCAACGTTGCTCGTCTTTAAAAAGTTCAACAAAAACGGGGGAAATTCAAACACTGCCTACTTTGGAAATTCCTCGATGCCAAAAACAACATTCTAAGGAGTCAGACAGTATAACATGGGAGCAAAACAGATTGTTTGAAATTTTTAGGACACTGCCAACAATGTGATTTCTATTTCCCAAACCAAAATTGTAAGGCTCTACTTCGAGTTCTGCCAAGTTCTAGCCTGTCATATTTTCATCCATTACATCCGTAGTTTCAACTCTCACACTCACACAACCTTGTCACCCAAGTTTTTCAGCTAATAAACCAGACAACAATAATCTCCGGCCTTCAGAATTTTTAAATGAAACAAAACCAAAAGAAAGTCCAAGGAAAATGAAAGCAAAACTTCCAGCACAGATGAATTTCTAACTACCACACCCCTGAGCTATAGAAGTAGTGTGACATGCATAAATTGATAAAAACAAATGAAAATGCCTATGGCCATTTATCACAATAAATTTTAATCAAGCTGTGTGCGTGTTGTGGGTGGGGAGGGGATTGAGGATGGTGCCTACCTTAAACTGTCAACGCCTAGATTTATTCTTGCAACAGCGAAACTCGGCTAAGAGTGCTATGTGATCTGAGGACCATTCAGGTGAAGGAAGTGCAGTGTCCTTCCTCAAACTCTCCTCATCCAGTAACTCCAATAATGACTCCACAACCAATGAATCCGCTGAAACCACAAGCCATATCAGGACATCAAAATATGACTAAGATATAGATATTAATTTATCACAATGATATAACACCATGCTCACCAGTGTAAAATATGTAATCTAGAGTGCCAATAAAATCTCTAGTGACATTTGTAAATAAAGGTTCATTTGATCCACCATCCAGTCTCCTTTTATGCTGCTCATATCCAAGGCCAACTGTTCTTGCAAAAGATGAGTATGCACTGACCTAAATTTGAATTTACAAATAACCAATAACATTAAATCAGGTGAAAATCTGATACAAATACAGAACTAAAATTGGAATTAATTGGATAGTTAATGAATACATTACCAGTGGTAACTGATGAACCAACTTGCTGTGTGGACGTAAAATGTTTAGCGGGTCAACCACTAAATCAGGATGTGAAGGATCTACCTTTCCCATAGCAAGAAGTGCATGAGGAGCACTGCAACAAAGTTCAGAATAACCTTTATACACACAAATTACTTATAATAACACAAGACCCTTACAAAATAAAATAAAAAACAATGATTTTTCCATAAAGAAAATAAGTCATCAAACCTTCCCGGAACAGAATTAAAATCTCCACAAACCAACATTGGAATGTCTGCGCTAGCAGCAATTTTCTCCAACCCTTTTAATAGAGTATGCACCTAAAATAGGAGAAAATTAGAAACTGTAATATTCAAAACAAACTGATCAGTGTGAACAAACTCAAGAAAATGATTTACCTGCCAGAGTTTCACATCCTTTAAATCTTGTGGAACGTTTACATGTGTATTCGCCTGAAAGTCCACGAACAATTAGTTAAAAGTACATTTACTAAAAACAGTAGTTTCAAAATAATTAGTTACATACCACCATGACAACATTTGGAATATTAATCATGAAATTTCAAAATATTTTACAAATGAAAACAAAAAACAATGAAACGGAAGGAACAATCATATAATGCACATTGGTCTAGGTCCACATTCTATTGTACCCCAACGTCCGAAAATGCAACCAACACAGGACAAGCCTAGCACCAACTACATCATTCAATTAATTCACAACACCACCAGCTTTCATCCTATCCTCAACATGTTTCATACCTATTGTAGCTTACACGCTATAAGAATTCAAAATGATTTATTGTTTTCATAACAAGTATCCAAACACACTAAAAACTTCTTTAACCTAACACAAGGCATACTTAAATGTTTTTCAATCATTACAACCAAACAAAACAAATTTCAACTCATACACTTCTTATCAACTAAAAAAACGAAACAAGCAAAAAAAAAAACACGGTTCACTCGTGAAAAAGCCCTAGCACTAGCACACAAACCACGTGAGGAACAAAAGTCGATACTGGGGGCATGGACATACAGGAGAAATGTCGTATCTATCTTAGGAAGATCAAAATTATGGTCTTTAGAAAACATCAAAACCACACATAACTTGATCTACTCTATTTGAGATTTTATAGCCAATATGAGCAGGGGGCACTCAGCACCTGTACTATATACACTACACAGAGATTTTATACCAGATCAACAAACTATCAGCAAAATAAGAAGCCACAACAGCCACCAGACAAAAAATTCTTAAATGCAATAACAATCATGGAATCGGGGGACCATAAACAAATGGAATAAACAATAGAAGAAAATGCTAAACAAAAAAATACACAAGAGCTTACCACACAAAGAAGTTGTCTTTTCCCAGCATTGTTATCAAATGGCTGATTGTTAACTTTTGCTTCTAGAACCACTATTAGTGCAACATTATCCTAATGCAAAGAAAACTTGGTAAATAACACTTTACAAGAAACAACAATTTTTTTCTTCTGAAAATCGAAATGTAATATTTGGAAAAATAAGTCACCTTAACCAGTCGATTCAAGGCAGTTTTCTTCTGGGTGGTTGGAATTGTAGCTTCTGTCAAAGACTGTGCAGCCTTGTTAAACTCAACCTGCATGCAAGTATACACCGTTCTAATTTGTGTACAAAAATAATTGAACTACCATACACAAAATCAATTCCCAACCTCATATTTCTTCACATGTGAAAATCTGTCTCTACGGAAAAATGTTGCACAACCATCAATTGTATTTGTGTTGCCACTGTACACCTGTAAACCCAAAGTAAACAGGTTAATATTTAAAATATTTTTAAAATTTATGATCACAAGGACCAGAATATTGCAACAACCTCGTTAGTTTTTCTCTTGTAAAGACCATAATAGCCATGTTTGTCCAGCTCAGGAGAAAAAAATTCATCGAAATGATCACTTTGAACCTGGAGGAAAAAATGTTCTCTGTTAGGTAATATAAAAGCTATTGGAATATAGGATGAAAACAAAAATTTCTAAGGGATTGAGTTGACCTTGTATAGATCAGCAGAGAATAAAAGATTATAACAAAAATTCCAGCATTGCACTTGAACAATCCCCCCCCCCAACCCCCGCACACAAAAAAAAAACGCACATGTGAATGGAAATTATGGTAATGTTTATTGTTACTTAAATAATTCATAACAGCCAATCCATTTACAACTGTTAGATATGCTTGGTGTCATTCAATAATCACATCTTTTTAGAAACCAACTGCAGTTGAACTTTAAGGATGACTTCATCCAAGTGAAATAAATAATTAATTAGTAGCAACAGTAATAACCAAGACTTCCAATTAAGTGGGTCGTCTACATGGATCAGAAGATGCCATAATGTTTTTCCATAAATCATAGTTATAGACAAAATATAAAAGGAACTCTACCCCTTCACGTTCAACACTATTGGACTAGATGCATAGATAAATGGTGGGTGACTCCTTTATAATGGATCTAAGATAGACTTTGATACTATATCAAAAAGTGCGATTGAGTCTAACTCAATATCACAAAATGAACTTGTAAAATAAGGATTGCTCCTCACTTTTGTACTTTATTATCTTGGTCTTATCTCTAACAGATGTGAGAATCAAATTTTTCCCAATAATTTTCTCCAATTGTTTTTCTTGGTATTTCTCTGCCTCTAGTAATTAGGCTACACTGAATTTTATTTATTCTCCTTACCGGGCCTTCTACAACCACAAGTCTTCTGCATACATGTCCAAACCAACTATGGCTCTACCACCTTTCTACTACAAGTGCTACTCTAATTGCCTCTCTAGTTAATTTAACACCATTCTCATTAAAAAAAAGTTGAACAACCAAGTAATTAAATCAAGTTTTTCAACCAAAATCAGAAGAAAGAACATGTTCATGTACCTCCTGAAGACAAATAATGTCTGCACGGTAAGCAACAATTTCTCGTAACAAATTTTGTCTGCGATATGGCCAAGAAAGTGCCCATGAAGGGCAGTAATTGTATAGATCATTTGAGGCATATGCTTCAGACAATATATTGTATGATAGAACAGTAAAAGTTCCTGAAGATGCCATTCTCCCATCCACATCTAAATGCCCCATCCCATCAACACGTACCACTCGGCGTGGAATAGGTGAGGGAGCAGGAATGACACGTGAAGTTAGTATGGTGTTAACATGGCCCACAGGAAGTTTTGTCTCTGCATCAACTACAACACACTCAAACTTAAGAACATGACCAACATCATCAGCAGTAGGAGTATAAGTCTTAGCTCGTCCAACTTCAAACCAAGTTTCCCCACTTCTTTGTGTGATAGCTGCTGGATACAAAGGTGTTACCGACCCATTTGTCAAGCTAGCACTTGATGCAGAGGCAGATAAACCGGAATTGATTGCCCCAGACCCAGTACTATTAAAGCGCCCAAATACCTCCTCCTCCTCATTCCCATTTTCATTGAGAGCACTTGCAGCACGATCATGTAAGACACGATGGTGTTGCCATGCATCCGAAAAACATTTTGTGGTGCAATGGTAACTCTTGGAGAGAGGTATTTTGGCTTTAAGACAGCCTAGGCATTGCAGTGTGGCTTGCTCTGATGGATGTATGCTACAGACAGCAACTTTTTTATCACTCTGTACACGGTACCTGCCAAAATGGAGGGCCAAAGGATATAGAGTCAAACAATATAATAAGTCCAATTTCTAAATCAGATTAAAAGAAAGTATGTAAAGGCAGCATATTTGGGATCAAATTTATATTTCATCTAGTCTAACGATGAGTAACAAATATGTTGGTTCATGAGTGACATTTAAAATTGAGAACATACCAGCTAAGCCAAAACATGAAGAAAAAAAGAGGATGGGGTGTTAAAATACAGAATTTGAACCTTAATATCTTTCTTGGCTAGACATGAATTAAATACAGAGCATATTCCCCATAAAATTTGCCATGACATAGTAAAAAACCTAGATATATGCAAGTTGGTTACAAGAATGCTTTGAGTTCCACTTATTCAGAGGAAGTTGGTGTGCCAGTGTGTCTGCCTCTATACACAGGCACACAAGATACCCCCAACATCTTGAATTCCTAGTTGGGATGCTGCATGCAAAACCATTGACATGTTGGATACCAAGGAAATAGGAATCCAAGATGTCTCAACACTGTTTGGTATTTTATGAATATTTTTTGTTACTTTAAATTGCAGCACCAATCATGAGAATTGAATAACAGAGTATATCAAATACCAGTATGAGGATGATGATCTACCAAATTTCTCCTTCACAACAAAATAGAAGAATAACATAATTAAGTTAAATTATATACAAATAATATAAATTTTAGTGTGATATCTTTCAATTTTAATTAAATATAACAATCAGAAAGTTGCCATCAAAACTATTCTCACATATACTTAGACCTCAACTCCACCTCTTCTAAAATAAATAGTGGAAGAGTTATCCCATAATCCAAGATGCAAAGCTTAGAGAGCAAATGTGATCTATTGATAACATTACATAACAAATTAATGCAGGTTAATCTTAACATAGAGAAAAACGCTAGTAGGGTATAGGAGAAGGATTGTGTTAGGGTCATAGCAATCAACGTAAAACTTGTTAACTTGAATAAGAGTAAGATAGATTATATGCATTGCAATTTTAGTAAGAAACAGGAAGAAAATGACTCGATGGTAAAAATTGGAGAGGATGTAATACCAATAACACGTTTCCAAGTCTTGGTACCAATATAACAAAATGATGGCAAATAATGAAGGTGTCACACACAAGATACAAGCAAGGAAATTAAAATGGAAAAAGGCATTAGCGGTTATTTATGACAACAATGTACTTACCAAGCTCAAAGAAGTTTTATTGTAGAGTGCTATACGACTAGCAATACAACTAACTAGCTATACTCAATGACAGTGAATGTTGGGCTTCAAAGGGACAAAACAAGAGAAAATAGCATAAATGAGTAGGCATACAAGAAAGAACAAAATACAGAATGATATACAAGAAAATATTAATGTGACATCTATTGAAGAAAAAGTGATAGAAAATCAGTTAAGGTGATTTAGACACGTGAAAAAAGGTCAATGGAGGATATTATTAGAGGAATCTCATGGTGATAAATATTCCTAAAAAAATTGATTTTTAACCGAAACCTAACGACATCATGTAATGCACTAGCCTCACCTGGTGGAATAAGATTCCTTTTGTCGTTATTGTAAATGTTAAAAAACACAGACCGAGAAGACTAAAAAAACAGACCACAAATCACTGCTTAATCAATGCAGTCCAGTATTAATTACAAACCGCCATGACAACATTTAAAATATTAATCATGAAATTTTGGAATATTTTATAAAAGAAAAGAAAAGTGAAATAGAAGGAAAAAATCATACAATGCAAAGGTAGGTCCACATTCCATTATACCTCAAAGCTTGAAAATACAACAAGCACAGAACAACCCTAGCACCAACTAGTACTACATAATTCAATTAATTCACAACACCACATGCAGCACAAGCTTTCATCCCATACTCTTAAGTGCATCTTTGATTAGTCATTTAAAACTTTTTTTTTTCTGCATCAATTAATACTTTCCCTATGATAGGTTACAAGTTATCACTGAATTAGCCATGACTTTTTTTTCTCCTTTCAATTTTCATTCATAACACAAATCCAAACACACTGAAAACTTCTTTATCCTAACACAAGACATACTTAAAAAATCCCAATCATTATAACAAAAACAAAACAAAATAATGCTCCGCCAGCAGAAGCCACTTTAAACATAAATGAGTCTTTTGATTATCAGTTTGAAGATTCAGCTGAACCCTCAAATACACAAAGTTCAACTCATTCACTTATTTTCAACTCAAACAAAATGAAACAACCAACCAAAAAAAAAACCTAGCACTAGCATGCAAACCAAACAAAAGCCGATACTGATACTGATCCAAATTCTCTTTGACCAAAAGTAAAACACCGTTAATCTGCAAAAAAAAAAAAAAAAAAAAGAACCGTTCCATGCTACTAAAATTACACACATTTTGGTAGTTTGGAACGGCCCGTTCCAATTCCGGAACAGCCCGTTCCAAGCTACTAAATCACCCCTAAACCTTTATAAATTTACCAAAATACCCTCAATAAATAAAAAAATAAAAAAATAAAATAAAATAAAAACTGGGGTGTTACAATGTGTGTATGACCCAACTCGATCACATATTATTTTTCAGTTAAACGTGCCCATATGAAATCATCGATTCAAATTGACCTTAATTATAAATAAATAATTAAATAAAATTTTAAAAATGATTTTATATTAAAAAACCATGAAAAAATATATTTTTTAAAAAATTATCATTTATTATTATTTATTCATTTTATTAAAAATGTGAATGTTTTGAATTTTGAGAGCTGGGAAGCAATTATCTATTAATAAAAGAAAAAAATAAAGGTAAATAAATTAAAATAAAAAAGATAATGAAATTATATATATAGAGAGAATTATATATTACATCGATGATATCAAGAGTGAAATTAACTTATTTTACGTTTGTTGTTCTATAATTATTTTTAAAGATGATGAAAAGAAAGAATATTACAACACAAAATTTATATATTTTTTTCAATAAAGGTTTACCTTGTAAATTATCACTGTATAATTAAAGCATTCCAACAAGATTTACACTTCGAAGTTTACCAATGTGTAACACACTAAAAATAATATATTTTAATATATTATATTTTAATCTATATTTTTTTAACAATTATTACTAAGATTAATTTTTTTTATTATCAAATCAGTCTGACCTAAGTCTATTTGAACTTTTAAGTTATGGAATCGGACTAAAATTATTTAATTTTATTTAAATTATCTTTATTAAATTTAATTTAGGTTTATTAACAAACTGATCGGACCGATCATCGATTCAGACTTAATTTGCTGTGAGGTGCTATTATCCACTTGATGGACAATTTTATTAACTTTATATTCTAGGGAAATAAAACATCAAGACATATAATTCTAGATTTAATTTAATTTTTATTGGCAGAAATCGTTGGTGTTATTTAATTGTTTACATTAGAGAATGTCAAATCCATTTCAGATACACCAAATAAAGTATTGAAATCAAAAGTTCCACTTGCAATTCCATCACTCATCAATTTCAAACCCAATTCCGCGTGCATAGAATATTGTTTCTTTCCTTTCCAAAGTGATTCTTATTATTCACCATTGCAAGTTTAGAAACCTCCACCTTATACCTTTTCTTCTCTTTTTCTATCAATCAATAAAAACTAATAAATTCTTTTATCCCCAACTTGGCTCGCGATAACGACCTTGGTATCATAAGTAGAAGTAATTTCAAATACTATTTATGTAAGAGGTTATGTTGATATAAGTTTAGAAATTTTTTTAATTTTTTTACTAAAAATAATAAAAATATTAAAAAAAAAAAAAAAAAACAAACCCCCTGGTTTTGAAAACGACTTGCTACCATCACATGTTTTCAAATTAAACAAAGCATTGTATGGACTAAAACAGGCACCACGAGCGTGGTACGATAAACTAAGCTCTTTTTTAATAAGTAACAATTTTATAAGAGGTAAAATTGACAACACCCTGTTTAGGAAAGAACTAAAAGCATTGTGTCTGCGCTAGATTTCAAGTAAGACCTAAGGAGATACACTTACAAGCTGTTAAACGTATTTTAAGATATCTTAAAGGAACAAATAACCTATGAATCAGCTTATATAGAAGCCATAATTTTTCTCTATTAGGATATTGTGATGCAGATTACGCAGGGGACAAATGGGAGAGAAAAAACACTAGCGAAGGATGTCATTTTCTTGGATGATGCTTAGTATCATGGACTAGCAAAAGGCAAAGTACGGTTGCCTTATCGACTTGCGAAGTTGAGTATATCGCCGCAGGATAGTGCCTCACGCAATTGCTTTGGATTAAACATCAGTTGGAGGACTACGACATCTATGAGAATAGTATTCCTGTACTTTGTGATAACATTGCTGCAATTAGCATCTCTAAAAATCCTGTTTTGCATTATAGGACTAAACACATAGAGATAAAACACCATTTCATTAGAGATAATGTACAAAAAGGAACCTTCAAACTAATATATGTTAAAATAGAAGAACAACTAGCAGATATATTTACCAAGCCCCTTCAAGAAGATAAATACATCTGGATGAGAGATAGGCTAGGAACAATAAACTGTTGTTTTGTCTACACCTCATACTCCTTCCATTAAAAAAAATTATTGTTAGGAACTTTTTGTATTTTAAAACTACCGTTATTTTAAAAATTCAAAATTAAGATAATTTTTTCTTAGTTACATTCTCATTTAATAATTATATAGATAATCAATTCAAAATCATCTCAACTACCTACAATAACATTTTTCTCTTTTCATCACCTTTTTTCAAATCATCTTTATTTTTTATTAATTCTAATTTTTTATTTTTCTGTTAATTAAATAATCAATTAACTAAGGAACTGATTATTTAGAGAATGTTTGGCAACAAACATATTTTAACTTGAAATTAAGTTACTTATAAATTAAACCTAAAAACACAAAACTTAAAAAAATTGTTAAAATTTATTTTTTAACTTAAAAATTCTTT